ACCATCACACTGTTCCGTACTACTGTCTAATAAGAGGGGTTCTGCCCTCGTCATCATCTCCACTGTATGAACGGCAAACTGAGATTGAATAAGGTTATAATACAGTACATGCCAAGGCTGGGCTTGAACCTGGGCTGGATGGCAGTACTTATTCTTGTCAATGCTGTTGATGCTGAGGATGTGTTCTGTGGAAGGGCAGAGGCTGCAGACATTTAAATGATAGGGCTTGATCCAGAGAAGATACCCAAGGGCCCCTTATTGAGATCCCTGTTGGAGATGAACAGCAGTACTTTTCTACTCTGCTAATCAAGATGCAAGAAATTGGCTGAAATGATCCAAAGTCAAGCATATTGTTGCCTCCTGGGCCATTTCTTCCCCACCACTACGCATGTATACACACACACACACACACACACACACACACACACACACACCCACGCATGCACCCACACAGACACACACTAGGATGCACTATACCTCACACATGCAAAAAGAATAAGATGAGTTCAAATAACTCAAGCCAACAGTTGGTTGAAATTGCAGACTCCAAGGCTGGTGGGCACAATGCCAGGGCATTCTAATCCCATCTCTGCGATCTCCTTTTTAAAAGAGAGGAGGCATTTTGTTTTCCCCAATAGTTGTAAGAGGATTATCAGTGTCAACTCCTTTTGCCCCCCCCCCCTAAGTAAGAACTAGCTAATCTTTGTCTTTCTTAACGTGTGGTTTTCCTTGATGAGCTGACAAGTGTCATTTAAGAGAATCCATGTATGACTGCTTAGCTGCCTTGTGTTGCCTGTAGCAACTAAGATTTATTTTATAAACACATACACAACAGTCACTGTACAGCAGGCACTGCCCAAAATAATGTGTAAAGAGCATCTAGCCTCCTCCTCACAACCCTCAGGGGAAACTGAGACAAGGGATTCCTAATAGCTTGCCTGAAGTGACATGGCTGGCCAGTAAAAGCAACAGGCTAAGGATTCAGATAGCCTGACTCTTGTGGGCTACTGATGGGTAGTGGAAAGTTGCAATTTCTTCTCTACCATTAACTTCATTGTCTCCATGCTGGACTTTTTTTTTTTCACACAGGCACTGAGCCTGCAGTTCCTGTATCCTGTGACCTCGGGGATAAGAAAGAGCCTAACCAAACCACAGCAAGCAATGGGAAATGAGTCAGAGTCCATTTATGTTGATGATTTATTTTGTGAGGGAGATTTGTCCAGTGAACAAGCATGCAAACCGTGGCTGTTTGCAGCTTCTGTTTGCCACTTTGATGCCATGGACTTATTTTGTTTGACACTCTAGGCCATTTCATTTCAGTCCCCACAAATTCATATATCACTGTTCATGCCTTCAGCCCCACTTCTGCATCTGGGATGGTGGACTCAACCACACTTCACCTCTTGTGAGTTTGACCCTTCATGCTAAAAATGCGGGTGGGACGAATGTGTGGAATCCTCACAGGACAGATGGGGCTTTTACTAGAGGCGCGTGGTTTATGCTTTACAACAGCTGCATGTATGGAGCAAAATCATTCCGGTGACCTATTTTCAGATCTTGACACATACATTTGGCTGACAATTCAGCATGCACTTTCTCAAGAAGGAAGTGAACATAAACAACCTCATACATTACCCTGTACATCGGAATCCTGTGCTTTAATGGTTTCTCTTTGACCTGTAATGTAGAACCTTGGCCATGGGAAAGGAAGTCCCTTTCTAGTCTTTGTGGTGATAGGGGAAACTATAGGAAGTTAGAGCCTGGATATCATCCTGGTGACCCTCTCATTTTGTCAGAAGCGGCTAAGAGTTCGGCTCCCCAGTGTCTCTCAAGGCATGGCTCTGAGCATGGGCCCAGAAGGCCAACTGAGGTGGATAATGCTGGATGAACTGGGAAAATCTTCTGTGTAGAGGCTCTCCAACCCACTAAAGAGATAATCTGTCTTATTTCCTCCAGCCTTAGCCACTATCCAGACACCAGTGCTCCCCTTTGTGAGTTCACCTCATAGACCTCTGTTCTGGGCTTCAGGCTTGGATGCCCTATGTATTGGAACCTCATGAGTGTTCCTCCAAACAGCATGGTAACTCCTGAACCCCAGACCAACACACCAGGACATACGCTCCCGGTACCCCCAAAGCCACTGTTGCTTGCCTTAGTCCTTCTCAAAAATGATGCTGTTACCCATTTCATTCATTGATGAATCCTAATGTCTTAGAATGATCTCCACCACTTAGAAGGCACGCAGTACCTATTTAATGAACGAAAGTCTCTCTTTTCCTGCTTGATCAGTTCTCATTGATCAAGAATTGATCAGCTAAGGCCTGATGGTCAAGGCCCTTCATCACTGTATTCTTTTATAGTGTGTGGGAGTTTCCAGTGATTTGTTGTTGTGTGCACACACATTCATGTTCCCAGCTTGTCCTCTCTGGTTTTCAGAGTACTTTTATTTTCCTTCCCCATGCTGTTGGGCTGCATCAGATCTTCAGTGCTCCTTTCTTGATGTCATGGTCTTTGTCTCTTCTCTTTCCTTCCTCCTTCTCTCCCTCCCCTTCCTTCCTTCTTCCTTTCTTGCTCTATTATTTCTTTTTCTTTCCCTCCCTCCCTCCTTCTCTCCTTTCCTTCCTCCCATTCTTTCTCCCTTTCCTCTGTTAGGTAAAACTACATTCATTTTGAACCAGTATTCATACTGAGAGGACTGAGAGGCTGCCCAGGAAAGCACAAGCTCTGCGGCCTGGCTGAGGCGGTATTTTGCAAGGTACCAGTTGAAGGTTGGTACTTGCAATGTTGATGTGTGTCTGTATTGGTAAAGATGGCTCCACCTTGCCTCCTTTACTTAGAGCACAGCAGCCAATAGACTGCTAAAGGAACAGAGGATTGTGCTGGCAGGTAAGTTTAAATAGAGGGCTTCATTTTCTTAAAGATGGTCCTTGGTATATAGTCTGGGGTAACCTTGAACTCGTGACCCTCCTGCCTCAGATTCCCAACCACTGAGATACAGGAATGTATCTCCATGTCCATCTTGGGGTGGGTCTCTGAGAGGCGAGGAGATGATTCTGAGCTCTCTCCATGCCGGGTCTTTCCACACATGACTGTGTGGGGACAGATGAGACATAGCAAGAGTGTTCCGTATGGAAGCAAGGACAGGGACAAGAACATAGTTCCTGAAGCCATAAATTGTTAGAGCACAGCCAACTAAAACACACTCTGAGCTAGAACAGGGAGTCTGGGAGAAGAGGAAGGGAATAGTGGTGCTGCAGTCAGAACTCTCTCTCTCTCTCTCTCTCTCTCTCTCTCTCTCTCTCTC